TCGCTGAAGGGCCAGGCTAGGCGGCCGACAGTGCCGGGCTTTTCTTGGGGTGACCCTCTTTTCCTTCCTGGCAAGTTTCTGATGTGGGGGCCTCCATATCTTCTTTCCTCCTGCTGCTTGGTCTTTCAGACAGCCCCCAACTCAGAAGGCACTTGCATGTCCTTTGGGATGGAGGGTGGGAACGTGGGGGAGGCAGATTCCCTGCGTAACCCCCATCCGGCTTGGACCCCGCAGTTGTTCCCCTCCCATTCCCCCTCGTCTGGAATGAAACTCATTTGAAATCAAACCTCACTGGCACTTGGTCAGCAGGCCTGTGGCCGGCGCAGTGCCTAGTGGTCACTTTGGTTGTCCCTGAAGGGCCCCGTTTAAGGAACAAGGGTCTGCGAGCTGGTGGAAGGCGTGGGGCGAGGAGGCTTGGCCCGTGTGTGTGGGACCCTACCTGTCACATCTACAGGACCGTGCAGTGGGTCTTGGAGCCTGATGGAGGCCCCACGGGGGTGTCCCAGCCGTCTGAGACCCATCGCAGGATGAACTGCTCAGAGCAAAAGGTGTCTGGGAGCCTGAGGGAGAAACGCAGGTTTAAACCTCAGCTTCTGTCTTTATCTTGATGTTTCCTTTGGGGCCTCCAGCTCTCAGGGGTTCTAATCCCCTCATCTTGGAGATGGAATCAGTGTTGGCTAATTCCTGGGGCTTTGCAGGAAGTTGGAGCAGATCAGAGCAGGTCCGCCTCCCTCTGCCTCTGCCGCCCCACTTCCCAGCGTCACTCGGGTCAAAGCTGGGTCTCTGTGGTTTGAGCCTGAAGGGCTTGGAGTGACGTCTGGGCTTTTAATGCCTCAAGTTTCCATTCAAACAAGTACATGGCGGGCCCAGCCATATTGTCTGTGCAAAGGGAAAGGAGCCAGCGTCCCCAGCCTGCGTCTGACAGCGAGAACCTCTGCACACAGGTAGTGAGCTCCCTGTTGCTGGAAGTATTCAAGGAGAGCTTGCCCACCAGTGACGATGAGGCCTCAGAGGCCAGGAGTGGCCCACCTCCCCTGACAGGGTTCCTGTGGGGCAGGGCTGGGCCCACAGTAGGCCTGCAAACTCCACAGCTACTGCTCCTGATTTCTGTGCCGTTTTTACTCAGATTCCTGGGAACGTGGACTGGGAAAGCTGTCTGCTTGTTCAAAGACTTAAAGGTGTCTGGAATAGGAGTGCTTTGGTGCGGGCGTTTCCTGGGTTCCTCCAACCCAACTGTTCCCTGTCAGGTCTCCTCTCCCACCTGGCCCCGTGCAGTCTGAAAGGGGACCAGGACTCTCTCCTGTTCACCCTGTGTCCCCTGGGCCCACAGAGCCCGCCGCCCACAAGTACGGTGACGCTGGGATGTAGGGGTGGGTGGGGTGGGCGGCCCCTCCACCCCAGGCCTGTTTGCTGGTTACAAGGCCCCTTCTTGGACAGGCCCCCTTCTCGGGTGGGCAGCCCCAGATCCCAGCGTTTCTGACTCCTCTCCCACCTGTGGGCAAAACCCACCTTGAGAAACAGTGGCTCTCCCACCTGGGTCACGCATCCCTGCTGTTTGGGGACCTGTGGTTCGGCTCCCTCCGTCCCTGAGTCAGAAAAGAGGTGGGATTTTCTCTATGTCCTCCATCCAAGGTCAGCAGCTAGGGGGGGGCCTCCAATAGTGGGGGCTCCACCGACCTTTGGTGATGTCCCCACCCCATCGACACTGGAATGCTGGCACTGTCTGCTCCCCTGACAGCGAAGGTTGGCGTGGGAACTTGGCGCGGGACGAGGCTCCACGCTTTTGGGAGGGCGTCCATCACAAACAGATGGACCAGGGTTGAGCATCGCGGAGGCTCCCACTCTCCCACAGGCTTCCCTGAGCTTTGGCGAGTGCCGGGGGCCCACGTGGCAGGCAGGGCTCAGCCTCTGAAGGGGAGCTCCCTTGGCGTGCTGTCGGCGTGCCATCACTGGCGTCCTGTGCCAGCCGGGCAGGCGCCGGGCCCGTGGCCAGTGCACCCCCAAGAGCCAGCCAAGGCCATCTCGCAGACCCCCACCCAGCCTGCCCCGGGGACACAGCTGCAGCCTCCCCACGTGGGAGCTGCTGAGCCCTTGTTGGTGACACTCCCTGCATCTGAGGGAGATGCTTCTGGAAGCTATGCGTCCTGTCACACATATGCAAGAACACCGAGCTTCCATTGCCACTGCTGTCCCCAAGGACGTGAAGTGTGCGGGACAAGTCGGCGGGGTCTCGGGTGATAAACACGCAGTGGCAGAATCGCTCCTTAGGGCACGTCTTAGAACCGGCTGGGACTCCGGTCTGGGGATTGGGACCCGGCAGGGTGGGTGGCGGATGTTGCCCAGGCAGAGCGTGCCAGCAGCAGAGGGCGTGTGGCATGGCACGGTGGGAGTTAGCGAGATGGCACTCAAGTGCGCGGCCAATACAGGGCACACGCCGGACGGTCCGAGGCAGGCTTCGCTCTTGCGCTCGGAGAGACCGCCCGGTGCGGCGTCCCACCAGCCTGAGCGTCCCCTGGCTTCTGCCGCCATTCTTGTTGTCACAAGTGTGTCAACCATACGGACTTCATCTCACATGTTCCTGCTGCTGCTTTTTCCTCATCTCGTCTCCTCCCTCCCTCTCTCCCTCCCTCTCTCTCTCTCTCTCTCTCTCTCTCTCTCTCTCTCTCTTTTTAATTTCGGAAGCAGTTCTCTTAGCAACGGAAAAACTGCACACTTAATTACAGCCCCAGCAGCAGACGCAGCGGGCGACAGAGCCCGCTCCCCAGGGCCCCATTGAGTGTTCAAGAAGACCCTTGTCCTTGTGTGGCGACCCCCTTCCAGACCCTTCTCCTCATGGAGAAGTGACCCCTTCCACCTGCCGCAGAGCACGCCGGTGACATCCCCTTCTGTGTGTGCTTTGCAGGTAGCACTTTCTCACTGTCCCCTTTCCATGATCTCTCCTCGACTTCTGTCGAGCGGAGATGCTAAAGAAATGTGTAAAGTGACTCTGAAGATGCCCATTTTTATCAGCTGCTTGGATCCAGGGCGAGCTATTGCTCGGCTGCTGTGTAATTGTTTCATCTCTCTTTAAAAAGGGGGGGGTTCTGTTTTCTCCAGGGTAATTACCACAATGGGGATGGGCCAGGGAGGTAATGGGTACTTGTGTCTGATCCTTTTGAACGGAAATCTGGGTCATGTGCAGAAATTCCAGAATGCAGGCGAGGGCTGCCCGGCGAATGTGGGTTCGGCGTGAGGCTCTCTGGAACGGGGATGTTTGCGCCTCTGGACTCGCCCTCCGCACCTGCTAGCAGACAGACAAGCAGCATTAGAGGAAACCCGGCTTTCTCTTGACCAGCAAAATTAGAAAAGCACAGTGCATTCTATGTAGCCCCAGGTGTGTGTGAGCAGAAGTGGCCCCAGCACCCGCCCGGGTTTCCTGGGACAATCGGGGCTCAGGCTCACAGACGCCTCCCGTGTGTCCCGGCCGCCGGCTTCAGGATGCTCGGCTCCTGTTAGCCCCCCTCCCCGGGTGGGCACGGATGGCAGAGGCAGAGTAGTGCCGCTCACATGACGGGCGCCGGGAGAGGCCGTGGGGCTTGAGCACGGCCCCAGTCTACGCACAGTTGGTTCCCAGCTGACAGACAGACTATGGGGTGGGCTTTGTCACCAGCACGCTGGGTCTGGCATGCCCAGCGATGCTCGGAGGCACGCCGTGCCCAGACGCCCGCCGCCGCGCCCCGGGTCCACTCCGCTCCAGCGCCGGGGGGCCGGGCAGCGCCGCACTCCTTACCCCCATCCAAGAAGGTTATATAATGAGCGGCGGACGGCTGCCAAAGTCGGAGGGAAAATGAAGTCTTTGTTAAATGCCTTCAGCAAGAAGGAAGGTAAGGACAAGCGGCAGGGAGCCCGGTGCGCGGGGATTAGCAGTTTCTCACGGGCTCTCCGGGGGCGCGGGGGCCTCCGGTTCCTCCTAAAATTGCTGGTTGATCATTCTCGGCATGTAAGTTGGTCTGCAATTTTTTAAGCCACTTGAAGGTGCCGTTTTATTTCGGTTTTGTCCCCGAGTCTCCAGCCCCTTGCAGAATGGCATTCCGGAGCGCGCATCCATGGTGACTGCCGGAGGGCATGTCAGGGACGAAGTCCCCGGGAAAATAAAGGAAGCGCTGACTGTAGTCTGCCTGCTTCCTGGGGGCTGGTGAGCCCTCGTGCAGGGTACAGGAGGCAGGTCAGGATGGCGCTGGCCGCGCTGGCCACGCGGGTGGTGTGGGGACCGCGTCCCGGCTCTTCTCAGCGGTCCTGGGTTCAAGTGCACGGGGTGGGTGGGAAAGGCAGCGTGGCCGACTTCAAAAGTACACACGCTTTTTGTGATACCTTGTGTGATTTTTATTGTGGAAAAAGAATGTATAAATTAGTGCATGTAAGACGGCTAAGAAAACACCCACCCACTTAGTTTGCAGATTGCCTGAAAGAAGGAAGCAGTTGGGTGGAATATTAATCATTTTCAGACAGGAAAAGAGTTATTTTTAACCCTTTTTAACAAGAACAACAACAACAGCAAAACCCACAAGAAAAAAACATTTCCTCTGAGGGCTCCGGTTAGTTTGTCAGATGGAGAGTTCTCGTTTTGTGAAATCGGAAGGTTTATGAAGACGTTACTTTGGAGGAATTAGGAAGGTGCCTCCCAGCCCAAGCCATAACACAGATGCCGGGGAGGGGGAAATTCCAATTAAATTGCACAGGAAACTAATTTAATGTTGAATCTTGGTAATTAAGCAAGATAATTTTCGTTTGAATGTTCGCCCTCACGTCGTCGCCTGTGCGGTTCCATTCCAGTAGCTCGCCGGTCCTCGGGGCTCCGGCTGCTTTTCCCTCGGCCTTCCGAGGGCGTGGGTTCCCACCACTCTCCCAGCCCCGCTCTCAGAGGGCTCTCTTCAGCCTGTTTCCAGGGAACCTATAAAAACAGCCTACGTCGGTGCTCACTTCCTTAACGTTGGTAACCCAGATTCACGTTCGGAGACTCAGTTTTTGCCCTCCACGCACAGCACGGAGATTTTCCTGCGGAGTGTGGTGTGAGGAGCTTTCTGTGTCCACTCTGTTCTCTCATGGACTTGTCTTCCCTCCCGAGTCCATCTTAGCCACGGGCAGGGTTCCCCCCAGTTCCATCGGTGTCTGTTAAGGGTGGTTGGACCTTTCTCAGTTACACTGGTCAGAAAACAGACCCTATTGTGTTGTCAGGGAAGCTGGAAGGCTCGGTGTGAGCCCGTGTCACAGACCGCAGGCCTTTCCCTGTCCAGGAGTGTCCCCTTGGAGCAGGAGTGTCCCTCCCCATGGTGACCGTGAGCTCCGGCCTCTCCTTGGGCTGGTGGGCGCTGAAGATGACACGGAAAGCCGGGAGTTGTGTGGCCGCTTTGTACGTGGTGTGTCTGTTTGAGATGCTGGCTGTCTCGGTGACAGTCCCCGGCCAGCAGTCACTGTGTGTAGGACACACTCGCTCTCCAAGGTGGTGGAGCCATCAGCCCTCAAAGAGGTCTTTCAGTCCCCGCCCCTCCCACCGTGGCAGACAGGTCTCGGATGTCCCCGAAGCACTTACCACCCTGGTGCATTGTCACCCTAGCTGATGAGCTCTCGGTCATTCTTGAAGTCCTTCTGGCCTCTGTCTGCTCCGAGGGAGTGACACCCATGTGGTTTTCCCTCGTGACCAGCAGAACACACACTCGGGTGGGGTGAGGCCGTGGCTGATTCCCCCGGGGGTGTGCCCCGGGAGAGGGCAGCCTCAGGCCCTAGAGACCGTCCCCAGAGGACGTCGCCAGCCTTTCCCAGTCCCCGACCCCCCCGCAGCCAGGCCGGTTCCTGTAAGTCCAACTGCTTTGAGGGGTTAAGAGTGGATGAAGTTTGAGCTGACGAGCCCTGAGTGTGAACAGTGCGTCTTGCTCCGACATGGAGTCTTCTCAGAGGCAGCGGGGTGGACGAGAGCTCACCGCTGCCCGATGGGAAAGAACGGGACCCCCATGTGTCGTTTCCTAAGTCTCACCAACTGCTCTGAACCAGAACGTGAATTCCGAGTGTGTGTGCCCAGGACGCCTCATGCCCCTCCAGTGTGGCTTCCCAGGACAGCCCTGCATCCTGGGAGGCTGCAAAGGCGTGCACTGGGTCACAGCTGTCTCAGTGGAGCCCTGCCGGTGCCACCTCTCCCCAGTGCCCTTTGACAGCACCACTTCTGTCCCCAGTGAACTCTGCCAGTGCTCTCTGAGTCATCTGTGAGCTTAACCAACACCACCTCTGTCCCACGAGCCCCGCCAGCACCACCTCTGTCCCCATGAGCTCTACCGTCCACCGTGGGCATGGGCTGGTAGCAGGGGCTGCTGTCCTTAGTTTCCCATGAAGTACTTCCCTGTGGCTCCGACTTGGGCAGCCAGTCGTGGTAGGCTGCTCCAGGGAGGGTGTGGGTTTCCTGTAGGTCTGCAGTTCAGGCTCTGGGGGCAGCCCTGGCCTCGGGCAGCGCAGAGCTCGCTCGGCCGGGCTTGTAGATCGCGAGGCGTGGGAGAGCTGCCTGGGCGTCGCGCGTGCTAAGAAAGCCCACGTGCACCCTTTGCAACCAGAGGTCACTGGCACGTCATTTCCCCTGCAGCCCGGGGGGCTACTTTTCTTTAGCGGTCTCTTTTTGGAAAGGACTCTTTCTCTCTCTGGCTCCTGCCCTCGGAGCAGCCCGGGGCGGCTGCAGTGCTAGCCCCCACCGTCCCCATGGGCAATGTCCTCATTCTGAGTCCCCAGGCAGTGAGGGCCTTGCCTCTAGTCTAGAGCTCAGTAAGAAGCCAGGTGAAGTGTGGCCACCCTCTTCCGTGTCGTGCTGCTGGGTCCTGGTTTGCTGGGCGAAGAAAAGAGCGTGCTTGGGGTTGACGCCGCGTGATTCCACACAGTAGACTTAAGGGCTATGTGAATGTCCTGCGGCCACTGTAACCAAGTCCCAGGCTGGGACCGCTTAAACAACTGACATCTACTGTCCCCGGCCCTGGAGGCTGGAGGCCGAGACCCGGGTGTCGGCAGGGCTGGTTCTGAGGCCTCTCTCCTTGGCGTGTAGATGGCCGTCTCCTCCCTGTGTCCCCACACGGTCATCCCTCTGTGCATGTCTGTGTCCCAATTGCCTCTTGTTATACGAACACCAGTCACAGTGGATGAGGGCCCACCCCAGTGACCTCATTTCACTTTAATCACCTCTGTAAAGGCCCCATCTCCATATACGGTCATGTTCTGGGGTCTTGGAGGTCAGGACTTCAGTAATGAACTTGGGGGGTGGGTGCAGACACCAGTTAGCCCACACCAGGGGCCAAGTTTAGGCCGGGGCGAGGAGGGACTGGCTGCCGCAGTGTCCTGACCGCGTTGCGAGGTGGGTGGCCCGTCTGTCCTCACACATGCCGCCAGGCTGCTGTCCCGGATGGAAGTTGGCCCCGTGTCCCTTCCATCTCAAGCGTTAGCTTAACGCTTCATGAGACGCAGACGTTCTCAGTTTCCACCCCGCCTGTGCTTCTGTGTCGGGGTGAGTTCTGTACACGGTGGGGTCCTGCGGGGGGCTCTGCACAGAACTCACGGCGCCTTCCGCTCGGCTCGCATGTGCCCCACCCCCCCACCCCCAGCACTGACGGTGCCACGCGCTCACCTGCGTCTCCTTTCTCTGCCCAGTGCCCTTCCGAGAGGCCCCGGCCTACTCCAACCGCAGGCGGCGGCCCCCCAGCACGCTGGCCGCCCCCCGGGTCCTGCTGCGCTCCAACAGCGACAATAACCTCAACTCCAACGCGCCCGACTGGGCCGTCTGCACCGCCGCCTCCCACCGCAGCCTCTCGCCTCAGCTGCTGCAGCAGGTGCCCGGCAAGGCCGACGGAGCTGTGAGGACCATTGGCAGCTATGTCCCTGGGCCCCGTAGCCGGTCCCCATCGCTCAACAGGCTCGGCGGTGCCGGCGACGATGGCAAGTGGCCCCAGCAGCCCTGGCACGTGGGGTAAGGAGCGGCTGGCGGGGCGGGGACTGGCGCAGGGTCGGAGGACTCCCGTGGGGACCAGTGGTTGAGCAGATGCCTGTTTCATTCCGTCTGTCCCCTGAGAGCAGTGAGGGCTCAGGGCCGTCTTCACTGACACCGCACCCGTGATGACCGCTCGGGGCACGTGTGGGCACTCTGGGCGGCCGGGCACTTGGAGCTTCCAGGGGAGCTTGGGGCGGCTGCTGGTGTGTGGGACTTCGTTTCCTGTCCCTACGCGTTGGCTTCTGGGTCCTCAAAGGGACATGTGAGCAGCAGGAGTTAAGGCCACTAACCTGCTCCGTGCCGAGTTCTTCTGCGTGCCCCATGTGCAGACCTGCAAATCTTGGAGCAAACGTGCCTTATCCAGAATGAGCGCTCGCTCCCAGCAGGGAGAAAGCCTGGCACCGATGAGGAAACTCAGGCTGCGAGGGACCAAGGCAGGCATTGGAGGGTGCAAACCCCAGCGGCCATGATGACGGTCTCAGCCGGTCCTGTCGTGTCTGCCCCTGCGTCAGGGGCATCAAGAGAACCTCAACAGTCTCTGACGCAGCCCCTAGCAGCAGGAACCCCCTTCTTTTCCCTTTTCTAGATGAGGACACAACGCTAGCATAGATCAGACTGGGCGTGGGACACCCCCTGGGTGTCTGACTCAGGGGTCCATCCACCCCTCCCCCCCACTGTGTCCCCACAGTCAGGGGAGCTGCATCCGCACTCAGCGTGCCAGGTCCTAGGCACACCCTCCACCTTGTCACGCTGCCTTCCAGGATTTCTCAGGCGAGGATAGGACTTCCAGGCAGGAGGCCAGGGTGGGCGGGGGGGCTCATTGCCTGGGCCTTGGGGGGCCATGAGCATCAAAGCAATGACCATTTCTGTCACCACAAACCCTGCCGTGTAGTCATGTGGGCCCGGGCCTGTTCCACACACTTTAGATCTGGCCCCTTCCCCGCGCAGAGCCTCTGCGGGGCGCTGCGCCCTCCCATTTCTCAGATGAGAGGACTGAGGCCCGCGGTCACATGGCCAGTATGTAGTCGGAGCAGGACTCTGACCCAGGCTGCTGGCTCTTGAGTCTGCGACTGGGGTCCACCAGGGTTTCTCCTCCTTGAACCCTGGTGGCCGGGAAGGGCCTGAGGACCTGTGTTTTCCTAGCTGGCGTGGCATTTCCGGTGAGGTTTGAATGCCCCCTTTGGTCCAGCCCTCAGTGCCTGGTCACCCGCGTCCCCATCTGCCTCCCACATCTCCTCCTGGGTGTCCAAAGCCCTTGGGTTCACCAACCCCGCCTGTGGTGAGTCCTGCCTGATGCCACAGCCCAGGTGAGGTTAGGATGTGGGGCAGGGCATAGGGCACCGTCCTGCAAGCTCGGTGTGTGTGTGGAGTGCAGGCTCAGGCAGGAAGCCCTGGCCGAGGGTTCAGGGCTTCATGTGGTCGGGGGGGGGGACTGCTGTGACCACGGGCAGCAGGCCAGGTCTCCGGGCTGCAGCCACAGAGGTTATGGGGGACATGTGCCCTTGGGCTGCCGGCCTGACCCTCTCGATGCTGGCATCTCCCCCCCTCAAGCCCACATCAGTGCTTCAGCCCACCGACACTTCCCACCCGAGTCTCATTCTCCGAACGGTGCGATCCAGCTCTTGGCTCTGGTCTAGATTCTCGCGCTGAGTCACCCCCAGGGAGAAGTCCCAGGTGCTAAGAGCAGTTTAAAGCTAAATTAAAGGATTCCCCAGAGGCAGAAAATTCCACTTCACACCATCCACTAGAATTATGGCTATAATTTTAGGAAGTGTGTCCCCTTCCTCCAGCATCAAATCTAATAAGGTACCAAAGGCAGCGTGGCCAGGGATTTGCAAAAGCTGCAAACAAAATATTGCTTCTGAAGAGAGAAAAGCAACTGGGGCGTGTGGCAGGGACCCTGTCTGATTGGTTTCCTGTGCAGGTGTGTGCGTATGTGTGTGCTTGTGTGTGCATGCATGTGTGTGTGCATGTGTTTGGGCATGCACGTGTGTGTGCATGTGTTTGGGCATGCACGTGTGTGTGCATGTGTTTGGGCATACACGTGTGTGTGTGTGTGAATGTATGCACATCTGTGTGTGTGCTTGTGCATACACATGTGTGTACGTGTATGCACGTGTGAGAGAGAACTGCAGCAGCCCGCCTGTCCCGAATGCCTGATCCCAGGACTTCCTGAGCACATGTCCTGGGCCACACTTTGGGCCAGTGACTTAACCCTTCGTGCCTCATCTCTGGTGACTGTAGGGTGAGGATCATGGCCAGGCCAGCTCCCTCGGGTTGTTCTCGGATTGACAGAAGGAATTCAGGGCAGTGTCTTGCACATAGTAGGTGCCCAGTCTACACTGGCTCTTAGATGAAGCCCAGATCCGTGTCCAACCCAAGGCCGGGCGTTTGGCCAGGCCCGTTCCCCTTCTCACCCAGAGCAGTGGGCAGAGCGACCAAGCACCCAGCCTTGCCTAGGACACAGAACTATCAGTGCTAACACCGGACAGTCAGCTCCCAGCCGTGGTCCCGCTGCCCGTGTCCCAGTCAGGGAGAGCTGTCCTGGCCCGGCCAGCACCCCGCCTTGCCTTGTCTGGCTCATAGGAATTTCCATAGAGGTGTTTGCTACCATCAATGACACTTTAGAAGGACCTTCTGGCTACCGTGGGGCAGGCGCCACTGTCCGGGTGACATGCTTGGCTAAGCGACAGGAGAAATGGACAAAATCACATCAGCCGGGTCAGGGGAGACTTAGCATCCTCAGCACAAAGGGGGGTACCTCTGGCTGCAGATCCCCACCTCGCCCCTTCCTTTCTCGATGCCCACGGGGAAAGCTGGCTACCAGCACCCCTCTCTCAGGCAGAGCCCGTTTACCTCAACGCCAACCTGAGACCCCAGAAACCTCAGTCAGAATGTGATGGGTGCATCATTGTGGCCAGAACCAAACCCTCAGGTGCAGACTTGGTGGGAGGGGGGCCAAGGCCCCTGCCTGGGCTCCTGCTGGCACCTGCTGACCGCCGCCCTCCCTAGCCCGGGCTCTGTGCTGTGGTCAGGCTCAGTCTCCCCCGTGGAGCCGACCCCTGATAGCCAGCTGGCCCAAGTACAAGGCAGGAGACGTAAGAGTGTCCTGCGCGATGGGAGCCAGTGTACCTGCAGCATCTTAGCGCCCTGGCTCAGGTGCAAGGAAAGCTCTGTGCACACACCTGCCTGAGACGCGCCCTCTGGTGGCGCCCACTGGCATGGCTGGTCCGTGTCTCCAGGAACTGGCGGAGGCGGGGTTTTTCTGCATCCACCTGCCCTGTCACCCAGCACTGAGTGTTGAGAAGGGGAGTTGGGGTCCTGCCAAGACCTGGGGCTGATGGCTCTTGCCAGGTCCAGACAGCTTTTGATGTATTTTTGCAAAGTTGGGGCGGCTGCCCCCCCCCACCCCTCCGCCATCAAATGAGCGTTTCTTGGGTGAAGTTAGCTCAGCAGAGTGGAAAGGCTCATGGTTTTGAGCCCAGGCAGAGGTTAGAGGCCCCCGCGGCTCCCTGGCTGTGTCCCCCTGAGCCTCGTCCTTCTCAGGCGCACTGGGGGGCAGCCCCACCCACCTTCCCCCACAGGTAAGGGCTGAGCTGGAAAGTCTTCCACCACCGGGCAGAACCTGGCAGGGGCTCGCGGGAGCCTGTCTTTTACCCAAGTCGCTTTCCTTTCCCTGAGCTCGGCCGCGGGAAGCTGAGGCCAAGCGGGCATTTGGGTTTCGGGTGGGTAAAACAGGCAGAGGGTCCAGCCCTGTATGGGGGGCTTGGCCACCCCGGGAGGGCCCTGGTGTTCAGGCAGGCAGGGCCAGCCTCCAGCCTGTGCCCGCAGCCCGTCTGGAGGAAGGAGACGTCGGCATCACCAGTGTTACCCCCCCAGCCGAGTAGCGGCTGTGCCACCCTGAACACCCCGGGAAGGAACCGCAGCCCGAGAGGAGCACCTCAAGTCCAATGGGCCGGGGCGGGGGGCTTGCTCAGAGAACAGAACCTCTTAGGTGGAGCCATGAACCCCAGAGACTCCAGGCTCCTCCGTGTGGGGCGTTCCCATTTAGAGGGGAACGCCACGTCCCCACCCAAGAAATGAGAACGGGCAAGGTGTCACCCCCCCAGGGTTGATATAGTTGAGGACACGGAGCCCCCGATGTCTCTAGCAGTGGCCCTGGAGTCAGGTCAGAGTCAAGCCAGGGTTCAGATGTCTGTGGGGAGGCCAGGGGCCCCCGGTGGAAGGGGAAGGGGCTGGCTGGGCGTCAGGGAGGGCAGGGGTGCGGTGGGAGCAGAGCAGACAGCAGGAGGCAACTCAGAGCTGTGCCCCCCACAGGAGGCTCTGGGCACCCTCCCCACTGCCCTGGAAGGTGGAGTCCCACCACCCCGGAACCTTCTGGAACCCCTGTTTCCGCTCCAAGCTGGGGTGGCCTTGTGCCCGCAAATGGGCAGAAGCCAGCTGCAGTGGCCTGGGGTCACCACGGAAAGGGTGGGGGCAGTGGGGTAGTGCCGCGCTCGACAGCGTCCACCGCGTCTCCCATCACCGTGGATCTCACTGCGGCGTCCACGCAAGACCCAGGACACACGGGTTGCCCCAGCCAGTGTCACTGCGTCCAGCGGGTGGGACACCCTGATGACCGTCTGTCCTCTTAGTGCCTCCTCAGGGCGGCTGTGGAGGGTGAGCTGCTATCGCCGGGACAGCGGAGGCAGAGCTAGACCTAGATTCCCGTGGTGGGACTGCGGTGCTCAGGGCTGCGTGCCAGCTGAGGACGCCGACGTTTCTGTCTGGGCCCAGGTCGGAGGGAGACAGTGCGGGCAGCACAGGGTGACATGGGGTCCGAGCTCTCATGCTCAAGACGCAGCTCAGTAAACAGCCAGGGCTTGGGGCGTGTTGTGTTGGATGTGCCCCCTTTCCCGGAGCCATAGCCGGCATCCGTCACAGCCCCGTTCCTCTGTGTGAGGCAGGAGGCTGGGGGACACCGACTTCCAGCCGGTCTCCAGGTCCAGGCAATCCTGCTTCTTGCTGTCTCTAACTCCCCCGACACTCTGCACGTCAGCCGTGACCTCAGGGGCGCCCCGCTCCTCACACTGCAGCCGGGGTGACCCAGAGCCTGCCCAGTCACGTCCCGCTGGTCTCTGGGGCGTCCGTTCTGCCCTTGGCGTCCCTGCGGAGCCTTCCCTGCAGCCTCCAGCCTCTCCCCGAGTCACCCTGTCCTCTGTGCTGGCCCATCAGACACGCAGAAAAGCACCTTCCCGTTTGTCCTTCTCCCTGTGAGGCTCAAGCCTGTCTCATGTTCATGGGTGTCTCTGGACCCCCCAGATACTTGCCTGATGAGTGACTGATGGGAGTGTAAGTGACTGACCGGTGACCCGGGAGGGAGAGCAGTGTGCAGGCAGGTTGCTGTTCACGCGGGACGGCTGGGACGCGGCTCCGTTCTCGCGTCCACGTCGGCCCACGTTTTCTGATGTTGAGAACTCGGGGCCGTAGCCCCCCGGCCAGCACCCTGTGGTTTTAACCCCGTCTGGCTGTGCTTGGGCGCTTGCCCAAGTTTAAGTGCACAGCTCGGTGTTGTTAGGCGCACTCACAAAGTGCAGCCGTCACCACCACCATCTCCAGAGCTTTCCATCGTCCCAAACTGACACTCTGTCCCCAGTGAACACTCACCCCCCCCGCACCCCCCCCCAAAGCCCTGGCCCCACCAGCTGCTTCCTGTCTCTATGTCTCTGACTCCTCTGTGGACTCGAGTGAGCGGGTCACACAGGGTTTGTTCTGTGTCTGGCTCATTTCACTCAGCACAGTGTCCTCAGGTCCATCCACGTGGCAGCAGGTGTCAGGATGTCCTTCCTTTTTAAGGCCGAGTGACACTTTACCGGGTGGATGGACCGCGTTTCGTGTGCCCGTTCATCATCTGTGGACACCTGGGTGGGTCCGGCTTGGCCGCTGTGACTAACGCAGCTGTGAACACGGGGTAGACATGCCTGTCGGGTCCCTGCTCTCACTGTTTTTGGAAAGTACATGGGGTGCTATTAGAGTCTTTTCATCTCGGATGCTGCCCCTGGATCGTTACCTGCCTTCAGCCCCGTCTAGATGGGAGGCCAAGTGTGCCTGCCCTTGGCACGGCTCTGCCGTCAGCGGACTGGCTGCAGGCGCGGAGCGTGGCCTGCTGTGTCTCGGGTGGTGACCTTTTTTTTTTCCTCTCTCCCTCTCTCCCCCTCCCTTTCTCTCTCCCTCCTTCCCTGTCTCCCTCTCTCCTTCTACCCTGTCCCTCGCAGGCCAACCTTCCCGCCCGGTGCCAACAAGGACACGCTCTCCGCCTTTGAGTACCCAGGGCCCAAGCGGAAGCTGTACAGCGCGGTGCCCGGGAGGCTGTTCGTCGTCGTCAAGCCATACCAACCCCAGGTGGATGGCGAGATCCCCCTTCACCGTGGCGACAGGGTCAAAGGTCAGTGTCCTCTGCTTCTGGGACAAGGTCAGGCCGGGGCCCCTGTGCAAATACAGAGCCCGGGAGGCAGACAGGGAACAGAGTGACGCTAGCCAGCCATTCTCGCAGGACACAGCTTCGGTGTCGCTGTCGTGTGTCAGGGACAACAACACGTGCATCTGGAACGAGATGCCATTGTGGAGGGCGCAGGGTGGGGCGGACGGGGGCGTCCATGGCCCCTCCCCGCCTGGAAACCCCCGAGGGCCTCCTGAAGAAGTGCCGGGACTGGTCATCGCACAGGTTGGATTTGGTGGTGTCTTGTTGGGAGTCAGGCGGGGTGCCCGGGTGGGTGGTGGAGCTTGTGCCTCCCCCCACCCCAGAGGCCTGCAGCGTCCAAGGAGGGCTCTCGCTGTGTGGTGGGGAGGGACCCCCACAGCGGAAGGCCAGAAAACAAGGCTCAAAGGCGTTGAGGGCCGCCGGGAATGCCAGGCCATGGAGTGAGGCTGTGTCGCCAGGGTCGTGGGGTCCAGCGATGGTCTCTGAGCAGGAAGACCAGGAATGGGGGCTCTTTAGGGAGATGGATGTCATGGGGGCGTGTGCAGGACGGGGGGTGGTTGGCAGCGGCTGCAGCTGAGTCCTGTGGTGTGAAGGCCATGGGAGGGACGTGGAGAAGGCAGATGTGGGCTGCAGGCCACACGGGGCAGCTGAACTCACCAGGGACAGAAGCAAGGGCGCACCACACATGCCAACCAGGACGCAGGCCTCAGAAGGTGCCTGGGCGGTAGAGGCCATGCTCCCTGGGGGAGGGTTTGGGTAGGCCAGGTTCACACCCTGCCTTCCCTACCTAGTCACTGTGTGGCCTTGAGCCGGTAACTAGCTCAGGTCCCCGCTCTGTACCTGGCACTGACCCGGCTGACCTCGCCTGGACTGTAGAAGCTCCTACAGACAGGCGGAGCGCAGGCTGTCTCTTGATTCCTTCTGTTAGTCCAGCTGCACGCAGCTCTGCGGGGGGCGTCAAGTCCCAGGGGCGCTGTGCACTTTCTCCCCATCTTTTCCTTCACCTTAGATCGTTTCTAGTCATCCGGTTTCAAGGTCACTTACTCTTTCCTATGAAATGGCCTGTTAGCTGTTAAATCCATCTTGTGCATCTTTTTAATTGCAGAAATTTCATATTTAAACTCTGGTGTTTCCACGTGTATTTTTTAATTTTTTATTGTTTCTTTATATTTGCCAAGACTCCCCATTAGTCTGTTGAGATTTTCCGCACATCGACAGCACGGGCTGTTCTACGACATCGCGGAGGGATATAATCGTCCCTTTAAAATCCCCGCCTGTTATCCCATCGTTGGGGTCACCTCAGGGTTGGCTCACTTGGTTTTTTTTTTTTTCTCCTGAGAATGGGCTCCCTCCTCTCAGGTCTCCGTGTGTCCCGTCATCTTCTGTTGCGTTCTGGACATCAGGAGTGTTAGGCGGTGGAGATTCTAGCTTCTGTTAGCTTTGGGTCTTTCACTTTGGCCGGTTGCCTGGGTGACACCGCTGGGCGAGCTCAGATCTCGAACTACCTGATCTGAGTGGCTTTGTGTGTGTTCTGTGCATGTGTTATTCTGGGGTTGCTCGGAGATGTGGGGAGGCTGTTTTCCCGTCTTCTGGAGAAACCAAACTCACTTCTCCCGGGGAGGTGGGGTCCTGGCGCAGGTGGGCCGGCCCTGGGGGTCCTGATGACCCCAGCCCCCGAGCTGGGCCTCAACTCTCATTTCATTCAAATCTTTTCTGCTCAGCCGCACCAAGACAGGTCCTAATAGTCACAGTAGACAGTTGAAGTCCCTGGGGAAGCATGCCCCTACATAACTCTTAAAATGAGGGGTGCCCAGGAACAGGGGTGCATCTATACTGGCTCCCTCGTGGTGCAGCTATGGAGGAAAGCCCAGATGGCTTAATTCAGGTGGTCTAGATGTACATTCCAGTCAGGGGTTCAGTGCAGGATCCGGGGAAAGCTGGGACCCCTGCTTTCCCACCCAGAGGCTCGCTCCCGGCCACGTGGAGGGGTCCTTCCTCTGTGACCCAGAGAGTGGGTGGGGTGAGGACTTCCCCGCAGGGGGAGTGAAGCACGCGGTGACGGTCCCTGCCCAAGCCTGTTAGCTTTGCCGAGCTAATTGCGTGTGGAAACTTATTGCTGCTTTTCCATTTTCAAGGGAGAGCTTGAGTGTCTTTGGAGGGGAGAGGCCTGGTAGTGACAGGGGGGCTGGACTCCGTTCCCCACCCAGTGTGGCCTCAGGGAGCATGCCGGGCTCGTGGAGGGCCTGTGGATGCGCCATTTATCCTCAGGGTATGAAACGTGGACTTCTGAACGGCTTAAATCTGTGATTTATGGGGGAGCCCAACTCTGCTTCCCCTGTGCTGCACAGGGAACACCCACCCTGACCCAGACACAGTGCCTGACAGGAGAGCCATCGGCACCTGCCCTGACTGTGGGCAGGNGAGTTTTCAGCGTTAACATTATGAGCAGAGCCCCCTGGGCCCTGTCAGCTGAACTTCTGCAGGGCCTGGCTGGGCTGGGGACACACCAGGAGAGCCACCCACTCTGCCTGGGGGACCGCAGTGTGTCCAGGAGGCCGACGGGGATGGGCAGTCACTGTGCAGTGACCAGACGCAGGGAGGTGGGGACATAGGACAGCCCCTCTGCACACTCATCCTCAGGGGAGCCCGTGGGAAGCCGGGCGTCCCCGGGAAGAAGGCGCAAGCAGATTTTCTATCTGTCCTGGACTCCTCATGACCTTCGGGGCACCTGTCACAGGAAGGGCCACACCACACGGGCGTAACTGACCTTGGACTTCCAGCTTAGACACGCAGCGTGGGCCGGGCGGTGGAGGCCCAGAGCTTGCGTTCCAACCCCAGCCTCGGCCCCTCCTGGCGGCGCATGTCACGTGGGCCGGCTCCGCAGACCCTCTGTGCCTCGGTTTCCTCACACGTTAAATTGGGAGGGTGGTAGACCTTGCCCCATTCCGCTGCCACGAGTAACTGACTTAAAAAGTGTAGTGCCCTCAGCACGGCCCCTGGCACAGGGTAGGCAGGAATAAATAGTCGTATTACTGCTGTTAAACATCACGTCCCTTATTGCCGTTCATTAATTATCCACTGTGATTACTTACCGTTTCATATGTAGAAGGGATCTGGTTCTGCGCTCACACACAGGGGAGCTGTGCAGGACGTTTCAGAGTACTGGTATTCTGCTATTATTATTATTATTATTATTATTATTATTNTGGGCCTGGCTGACCAGCACCACAGGCCACCTGCTGTGACTGGCATAGAGGTGGCGCTGCCTCTGGTGCCCCTCTGGCGGGAGCCCCTTCCTCCAAGTTCTTTAAAGGTTTGTTTTAAATAATAATTGCTGAATTCAGCCAGGTCGTTTGTGGTTCACCTCAGCACAGCAGCCACAGCACACTTGCCTCCAGCCACCCCTGCTTATTTGACTGGGATGCAAATGTGCCCCTCTCCTGAATCCGGGAGGTTCTAATATTGTAGAGCAGATGTGTGCAGACAAGCTGCCGCTAGGCCTCTCCGTGGAGCTGTGTTTCCCCAGCTGGTCATCCTCCCTCACTGGTGCCCCGGGAGCCCGCTGCCTTCGCCTCTTTAGTGCCGGCCGCTCAGGAATGGGGCCAAGCGCTCCGGCCTCCCTGTCTCTGAGCGGGTGCCCTGGTGGGCTGGCCCCTCCCTCTTTTCCTTACTGGGACCAGTGACGGTCCTGTGATGGGCAGGCGGGTCAGCGCTTTGTGCGGAGAAGGCGCTGAGCTCAGGGTGGGGGGGCGGCTCCCGATGAGGACGAAAGCCCACGTTCTGGTTGGTTCTAACCTACAAACATGGCAGCGGGTCACTTCCATCATCTCTGCGCTGCTTCATGTGTGCGGCTTCTCAAAGTGCCCTGTTTTCCGCGGGGTGAAGAGCGCCAGCATCCCATCGGGTAGGCTGGCTGGTGGCTCCGTCTCCTGGAAGGAGACCCGAGGACAGGAGAGGTGGCCTGGCTCAGAGTCCCTCGTCCCGCATACTGGAGCGGGAACTAGGACCTTGGTCCCCTAGGCGGGAGCTTTATCTGACGCGGATGCCTGGTGGAGGAGGGTTCATCCGTCCCCACTGTGTGTTGGCCCATCTGGGAGTGCCCAGGCCATGCTGTCCAGCTGCCACCACACTGTCGTGGGTCATCCAGAGGCCACACCCTCACAGCTGGTCCCCCTCCGTGGCCCAAGTTAGGGCGGGCGATGGAGGAGGAGGAGGAGGCAGCCACTCCAGCTGTGACCATCCAGCCTCCTGTGTCTTTAGGGCCCCAAGGGTGCCGGCACCTTTCCCACCGGCACACANGGCCACGTACGGACAGAAGAGCCTGTGAAACAGACGGCCTTAAATTAGGGTGTTCCAGGTGGGACCGAGTCCCCACCACCACCCGCCCCACACCCTCTCCTCGCCTCCTCTCACCGCTGTAAAGAGGGCCACCAGCTTCCGTTTACTCCACCAGAAACCCAGGACCATCCCGGGCCCCGTCCTCCGTCCCTCAGCACAGACCCTGTGGTGTCTCCTCCCAGCGCCACTGAAACAGCCCCGATGTGCCGGGTCCCCGAGCTGCATGACTGTAAACACACCTCCTCTGCGTCCTTATATCTCCCTCTCCCCTCCCTCGAGCCAGCCCTAAAGAGTCGTTCAGCCTTTCTCTTGGTCTCGTAACAACAATCACACACCCAGAAGTGGATGCTTGATGTGCATTAAACGCGGAGCTGGGATGCTGACGGGGGACTCGGGACGAAGCCAGTGGGCCGTGATGCGGCCCCATGCTGGGCTCATGCGCCTCTGCCAGCTAAAGAGTACCCGCCCGCTCTGACAAATGAGGAAACTGAGGCACGGAGCTCGAGAAGCTTTCCCGAGCGTCCCATAGATGAGATGTGGCTGAGTGCTCCCTCAGCGTTTCGTCCTCCCCGGACCCCCTGAAACCTCCAGAATGGCCTGCGCACGGCCTCAAAGTGAACAAGTGTGGTCCCCTCCACGGCCGCTGGCTCTGCTGCGCCTGGACAGGCGCCTGGCCTCCCTTTGCCGTCCAGGGTTGTGCCTGCTGGTGACCGTCCCAGCTCCGATTCCGCTGGGACCGTGGCCTGCGTCCCGGTCAGCTGGGGAGCGTGTCGTGAAAGGGGCCAACATGGATTTCTTGGGGAGATGCTGCAAGCGGTCAGATCGTCCTGGTCAGCTGGGAGGTGGCTTGCCATTTCATTTAGGTCACTTGTTCGAATTATTAGGCAAAGACTTGCGGAGCCTATCTGTTATGTTCTGTTGACCTTCAAAAATCACGGGGCAAGTTGCTGTTTATCTGGCCTCTGAGGTTAAAATGCGGGATGGAAGGAAGCACTCAGGCTGCCCTGCTCCCTGGTGCTGCCGTCTAGGGCCTTCGCATCCAGATAATTTAAAGAGGATTAAGGGGTTCAGGGGTTATATCGATTCCGCTGTTACACAGCCACACTCTGAGGGGGCCAGGGTGTTGGGGGCACCCCCAGCCCAGCACCAAAGGCCTATGATATAAAGACCCCTCCACATACGCACCTCTCACCACTGCGAGCTTGGCCCTTACAACNTAGCCAGTGAATGGCAGCTGTGGGGCTTGGTGCAGAGCCCTCGGACTTCCCAGGCCACCACACCTGTCTCTCCAGGCCCTGCTCCCTGCAGAGTAGAGGCAGGGAGGGAGGTGTGTTCACAGCTTCGTCATGGCTGGGATGGGATGTGCCCCAGGCCTGGAGCCTGATCTAGGCAGGGTCTCCTGTTACCTGCGGCAGTGCTGCCTGGCTGGGCCTTGCAGCGGCTGGGTGGCAGGCGCTCGTGGTGCCTGGGTGGCAGGCGCTCATGGTGGCTGGGTGGCAGGCACTCGTGGTGCCTGGGTGGCAGGCACGCAGCCTGGCTGATCCGTGACTTTGGGAACATCCTCCGTTTCCCCTGTTTCCTTCTGAGCTTCTCAAACAAGGCCACCATCTGTCTGTCTGTCCTTCCTTGCTCCTTCTGGGCAAAATGAGGGTGCTCCTTCTGGGCAAAATGAGGGTGCGTCACAGGTGGCCTCTGTGGAACGCGAGGGTGACCTCAACCGCCCTCGCCTCTTGCCTCTCCAGGTGAGTGTGGCTTACCTGCAGGACCTAGGGCGGCTGCCCCCAATGTAGACAGACTCCCAGGCCACCCAGAGCAGCATGCGCCACAGAGAAGCTGTGCCCTCTGCGGCCTGTGGACCAGGGCCAGGGGCCAGGGGGCCGTGCACCTCCACGGTGGGCCCCCAGCCTTGTCACTCAGTGACTGCATCAGGACCGAAGCGTGCGCACTCTGGGGGTGGTCTCTGCGTGCCCCCTGATCTGAGTGCTATGTTCGCACCATCTGAGCCCTGCACAGACCCCTCACTGGTGCTCACAGCACCACTGCCCAGACCTCCACCCTACAGATGCCAAGGACCTGCAGCTGCCGTTCCTTCTCTAACTTCCCGGCTCTCCCAGGGAGCCCCGACAGTAAGGATGTGACGTGTCAGCCACATGGGCCCTCAGGAAGCCAGCCATTGACAAGGGCCTGTTTCTCCTTTGACTCAGAAACAGCCCCATTTCAGGCCATGTTGGGAGAACTGCAGCGTGTTGATAACTAACGTGGTGGCTTGGGTTTCATTTTGTTGGAGTTTTGCTCGATTCTGTCTCCTTCAAAGATGAAAAATTTATGAGGCCGGGGTGGGCAGATTGAGGAGAAGGAAGCAGAAGTGAAACCAGGGGTGTCGGAACCCCCCGGGGGCCCTGAGGCACCCACCCTGGGTTCTGCGTGAGTTGACCGGGGCAGGGGCAGCAGCTGCCCAGATGTGCTCCCAGAGGTGGCAGCAGTGTCACCTGGGGACTTGTCAAAAGTGCAGGTGCTTGGGCTCCGCCCCAAAATCGGGATCTCCGGTTATCTCCAGCCCCCTAAGTCCCCCGGGGACAGAGGCCAGCCCTCTGGTGGGCCAGGTCCTCAGCAGTGCAGGATGGGGTCTGGTTATTCAGACCCCAGAGAACCGAGAGCCATTTGGTAATGTGGACATTACCTCCAGCTTCCAAGAATTGGAGCGCAGTGCAGAAGTTTTCCTGCTGTACCCCACCTCCAGCGTGCCCCCAGCCTCAACAGGGCGCCCCTGTGTTAGAGGAACCTCCCAGCACAGTGGCCTGGCCTCCACTTGGCATCATTGGCTGGACCTTCCAGGAAGCCGTTCTGGTCCTGTGCTCCCTTTCTCAGCCANTATCTGTTTATGTCCCTGTTTCCAGTGCGTGTGGATATGCACCTGTGAGCGGAATTGCTGGGTCATGTGGTCATTCCACGTTTCACATTTTGAGGAGCTGCCAGACTTCCCCACATCCTGGAATCTTGACCCTGACAGGGAGGTCAGTGTGGCTGCTTGCCTCCTGGACCTCGGCAGGAGCGGGGGCTGGAAGGCGGCAGCAGTGGTCTCCCAACTCCTGAGTGGGCACCTGCCGTGGCCCTTCCCTGCGTCGTGTCCCCAACCTCTGACTGTCCGCTCCCCAGGGCAAGAACCCTGCCCACCTGCCGCCTCCCTGTGACCCAGCCCAGCGCACAGTCGGCCCGCCACAAACGACTGCCGCGTTGAAGCTGGCGGGATGGACATGCCTCTGAGACAGCACGTTATTCTCTGCCGAGCGGTAACCATCCGACACAGATTTAGAATTCAGTGTGGTTAAAAATCATCAGGCTTCTGCCGTTTAAAAACTGCTTGTCATTTTGTGTGCCAAGAACTCTTTCAGCAGCCTACTTTTCCAAAATGATCGCTTATTGGAACAAAAACATTGCCACTAAAATTAGAGTGACAAAATGGAGTTGTTATGAAACAAAAAGAAAATCGGCAGGTACCTCTGAAGTGAGGCGCAGCCCCCCACCCCCCACCGTGAGAGCAGCTTGGCACCGCTGCCCCCGAGTTCCAGGGGGATTTACCTCCACGTGTGGGGTCACTTGTTTGATGAAACCCGTGACGTGAACCCCTCTGAGAAAGAGAGAGTGGTTGCTTAGGAGTGGAACTATTTGCGTGACTTAACCAGAGCCTGGAGCTGTGCAAGGGACGCTTTGCTGCAAAACCCTAACAAACAAGATGCTTTCAAATCAGTGTAAAAATCCGTACACTCCCCTCTCGAAAGAAGAGACCCGACCTCCCCTTTGTCACCTCCTTTCCCCTCAGTTGGGGCATCTGAGACACACAGCTCGTTTCTCCACAGAGCCTACGTCAGCTCAGATTTGGTTCAGCCATAGGACAGGACAAACGCAAAAGAACCATGAGACAGAGGTTTGTTTCTCTGTCATATTAAAGGAAACAGAGGAAGGCGGCCCAGAGCTGGGAGGGTGGCTCCTGGCTCATGGGGTCCTAGGCACTTCCTTTCTTGCTGCCCCACCATCCTTCACAGGCTGCCTCATGGCTCAAGACAGCTGCTTAGATTCCACCCATCACATCCACATTCCAGGTGAGGAAGGCATGACCAAAAACAAACCACACTCCCTCATTTTAAGGACATGCAAAGTGTCCACTGTGCTTCCAACTAAGGATTATTGGCCATAGCATCATCTCACGGGAGGCTGAGAGCTATTGTCTTTATTCCAGGCAACGTGCTATTCAAAGTGGAGGAGAGATGGTGGGTAGGCAGCTGGCCAGTTTGTCACAGTACGTCCTAAGGAATAGCCTTCTTCCTGTCTCCACAGTCCTCATCCCGTCCAGACAGACTTCCCCTCGCTGCCCCAACTCACCCAGACCTGCTCAAGATGTAAGGTACAGGATGTCATTTGAGTCACGCTTGGGATGCTTTAAGCAAGAAAACAAAATGTATGGGAAACTGAAGCCGGTAGAGGAGAAAGGGCTTGCCCAAGGCGAGTGAGTGCCTGCGCACTGTCACACCAGCCACCCTGGGGTCCCTGCCCGGGGCTTCCAGAGCCCTACCCTAGTTCTCTGCTTCTTCTGAGCTCCTGGACCCCTCACCAGGTCGGAGCCTGCATCCGGAAGCAAGGACTGTCAGGTCTTTTGGTTACAAATGATAAAAATCACTCTCAACCTGGCTGGAACCACAGGGGGACTGTCATAGCTTTGAAGCTCGGAAAGAACAGCTTCAGGCATGGCTGGATCCAGGGGCTCAGAGCGTGAGGAAGCTCTTGCCGTCCCTTTTCCCTGGTTTCCTCTGTAGGAACCCCGTTCTCGGGCCGGCTCTCCCCNATGAAGCTGTGTAGCCCCTCCCACTTTAAGCCTCTCCAACTCCGCTTGGTGACATTTCTTGAAATCTGTAGAGTTTGTGAACAGCAGGCGAGGCGGCGGGGTATTATGAGACCTGTGAAAATTCCGCCATCTTTGGCATCCCAGGCCAGGGTGTCTTTGGGTCTTCAGCCCCTGGAGAATGTTCGGGAAGCAGCTCCTTTCAGCCCACCCAGGGACACAGGGGCCTCAGCCGCTGCCTGCCTGCCCTGCCGTCCGTATCCGGGGAGCAGGCCTCTCCCCTGCCTCTGCACAGCTAGAGGAACTGCGGCTGGGGCTGCGGTTTCCTGCGTGGGAAATCGGCTGACCCGTCCCGCTCACCCACGCCATGAGGGAGCTGGGCTCATGGGGGCCCAGATGACAGATGTGGCTGTGCCCTGTAAGAGGTGGAACAAATGAGCTGCCCCCAGTCCATGCAGGTAGGTGGACACTGACCTGCCATCTGTGGCGCTGGTGAGCGCAGACCTGAGGCCTCTGTCTTGGCACCTGGGCACCCGGTTTGGGGATGGTTAGCCAGGGCCAGGAGCGCCCCTCTAGCTGCGGCCTACACGGAAGCCAAGGGCCGCCCCCCCGAGTGCGCCGTGGCTCGTTTTGGAAAACGAAAGCTGTCATATGGTGCTCTGGTACTGAGTTAGATGTTGTTTTTGGCTCCTCTGAAATAGACAATAGGAAACAGATCCGGGGATAATGAATAAACATTGGCTTATGGGGCCCCATGCTGGAAGCAGTGAAATTGCACATTGGCAGAGTAAATCGAAGGCGTGCATATGTAAGGAGGCGTGGAAGAGGCAGGCTCCTGCTCCAATAACCATGCAGCCAAGGATAGCCTCTGGGAGGGCACCTTGTGTGCCCCCTGGTCAGCCAGTCAGGGAATGTGGGCCTGGGGACCTGGGCTGAGGGGACCTGGCTCCCCAGCCAAGGAGACAGGGCAGCAGGTGGCAGCTTGGGCGCCGCCCACAGATTCGGATCGAGAGTCAGCACTCTTTCAGCAAATGCAGACACAGAAGCTTCCCAGTGGTTCATCAAGCTAGGCTGCAAGTTCGGGTGTTGACCGCAAACCCTCCCCTGCCCCATTTTACTTCATCTACCACCTGAAGGGCCTCAGCCATGCACCCATCTTAAATCGAGAGAGACTTCCCATGCCCTAAGATTGACCCTTTTGAAGTGTACGAGTCAGTGGCTTTTAGTGCATTCACAAGGCTGTGCAAACATTACCACTATCTAATTCCAGAACATTTTCATCACCCCAAAAAGAAACCCTGTGCCCATTTGCAGCCGGACCCCCTCCCNCACTGAGTTTCGGAACAAGGTCTTCTCCAGCAGGTCGATTCGGTTCCTCTGGGCTTTGTCCAAACCACAAATTAGTGCAAGACAGTGTGGAAGCTTTTAGTTAAAAGGCTGCTCAGTACACATTCCAGAAAGCTTTGGCATACGGTCAAGCCATGGGGAGAAAAAAGGCTCTTTGGTTAAGTGTGGAAGCCGCCTATTCGATCTAATACACTGTCTTGTGAACAGGCGGCTTCGCCTTGACAGAAAGTCCCTCCTAGACCCTCCATGACAACGACGCAGTTCCATGAGCCATTGACAACTGCTCCCAAGAGGTCAGGGTTCACGAGGGACCACAACCTCCGTGGCTCTCAGACGCCCCCAGTAGAGCCCTTGCTGACAACCGCGTTCAAGTTCATTGCCAAAAGATTGGATTCACTAAAACGTTAAGAGACCACGTATCTAAAATATGGTGAGAAAACGGTTGACGTGGGGAGAAGCGAAGCACCAAGTGTCTCATGAGAGGGGCCTGGTCCCCGTGTGCGCTCTGGGCTTTTGGTGGAATCCAGACTCGGGGCACACGTCACAAGTGGCAGCGTTCACTCTGGGGCTGACGGCTTTGCTGCGTCTCCTTGTGCTCGCCGGTGGCCTCCTGGCTGGGGGAACATGCACAGGGCACGGAGTGGCTCTGAGTAGCTGCTTCCTTCTCCCGGAAATGATGTGGCGTAACGTGAAGCCTGGAGGTGACGCAGGTACAGGGTTGGGAGGCGTGTAGCTGCAGGGTGGTTGTTTCTGTGCAGGAGAGACAGAGGTGTACCCCAGGGTACAGTCACTCACCTCTTTGCAGGCCTCGGCCCAGAGATGTGGCAGCAGCTAGGTGCCGCGTGTGCCAATGTCATGTGCACAGAGGCTGGCATCCTGCAGGAAGTTGCCAGTTAGCTGTGTGTGTGCCTCCCTCTCGCTCCCAGCATCCAGGCTCTCGAGCCAGGGTCAGCGTCTCACCCTCCTGTGTGCTGCACGGTTCCTAGTGCAGGACAGAGCGTGTCCGTGGACCCCCGTGTCTGCACAGGGGGAGCCGTGCGGCATTGCCCCCCAGGCCAGCTTCTGTCTGACTGTACAACATTCACACTGTGTGTGTTTGGTGGGGCGACGTCAGCTGCTGTAACAAATAAGCCCACAGCCTCTGTGGCTCCGTGCAGCCCCTTTCCTTCCCGCCAGGTGACTGCAGAGTGGGCTCTCCGGGTCGCACACATGCTCTGGTGTGACTGAGGGGGCCAGGCCACGCCATTATCAAGGGCCTTGTCAGCCCCTGCCTCCAGCCGGCCGATATGTGACGAGAGTGTGCAGAGACTCTGGCCCAGGAGGGACACACGCACGCCTCTGAGTCCCTTTGTCCAAGGCCAGTCATGTGAGTGGGGTGCCACAGGTGCTGGGCCATGTGGTCCCCAGCCAGGAGCCATCTCTTGGTGACTGACCAGCCAGGGTTCTCCAGAGAAACAGACCAGTAAGACATAGATGTGGACACAGATACAGATATATGTGTAATGTTAAGAGTTTCGTTTTAAGGAATTGGCTCAAATGACTGTGGGGGCCGGCACGCCTGACACCCGCAGGGCAGGCTGGGAGCCTGAGTGGGGGCTGAGGCTGCAGTCTTGAGGCAGAATTTCTCCCTCAGCGCAGCCTCAGGTTTGCACTAAGCCTTTCAGCTGATTGGAGGAGGCCCACCCACTTTCTGGGGGAGAATCGCCTTTGTCTGAAGTCAGCCGGCTGCAGAGGTT